AAAAAAAAAAAAAAACCTCCAAAATGTACAGCTTTTCACGGAAGCAACAAGTTATAAACATTCCGACGATACACTGACTCACGATAGTTCCAGTTTTGTTCATCTATGCCCAGAACTGTATGAAAGCTAAAGTAGTGCAATTATGTGAAAGGAAGAAACATTCGTAGAAGTGTCATTTACTAGTCTGAGAGAAATCTACATGTTCTTGTTGAATGCCGCCAAGACAAAGGCAAAATCGAACAAGGAAGTAAAATAAATAACTGGCCGGCGCAAAATAAAATTTCAGGAGTGCGGTAAATCAGCGTATTCAGAACCAGAATGGGCGAGTGCACAAAAAAGAAGTGGACACAGTGGGAATGTCGGTGCATTCACAAACACCTACAACCGTGTTCCCCTTTTTTTACACATGGATTTCGAATTTGGACTTTTCCACTTAGAATATTTACTCGCCGCAAACTGGATCAACAAGCATACAAGCTGTGACTACTGGAAAGCTTACAAAGATATTTTCGTACTTAGATCAGCTATGGTTTTATCAAATTGTTACCCAACAGTGCTGCTGGCAGCCTTTTATGACAGTTGCGCCGAAGCTACACTACCCAGTGGTCATCTGGCTGGTGATCCTGGCTTTTTCCATTCTTCGCTAGTACTAGCTAAATCGTCCACCGCTTGTACGGTCTCTTGTCTTTCTCTTAGACGCTTTCTCATGTTACTCCATAACGAAAAATTACCGGTAGAGATATGTCAGGAATCCCAAGAGCATCGAACTAGTGCGGAGATACTCTAACACCGTGAAACAGCCAGGTATGGAAAAGTGGAAGTGAATAAGGTCAACCTTTTCTTGCGAAAAAATTAAATCAAATAATATGAAATTCACTTATGTAGCAAAACGAAAGCGATGAGCTGGAAGCTTAATTTTTAATAAATACTGAATAGCTCAAAAACATTCTTTGAAATCATGGTCGCGAAAAGCAATTTTACTGCGCTTACCACAAAGACTGACAGAAATCCTGAAAAAATAAATGCACTCTCCCCTTACTTTACATCCTAAAAAATCAGCAGAAGCGGGTAATGAATTTCAAGATATTATGGATTCTGTTTGAAATGACATCACTACTGCTGAACACTACGATCCTCTACAGAGTCCAAATCCGGACATCCTAACCAGGCCTATTGACAGCCAGAACGACTAAGCAATATCAAAACACTCTAGAAGTCATACTTGAGAAGTAACAACCAAGAACGCCAAGTATGCTGATAGGACAGCTTGTGTCGATACCATTGGACCTCAACTTCAGTTATATACGCAGAACCAACGAAAAATAAATGTTGCTTATGCCACTGGAAGCTGCTAATCATGTCTTACGAGAGAAAGCGGATGATCGCCGTCTTACCATGCGCTATTTATGACTGTAAATTTGCTTTGGCAGTTCAGTCTTCCTCTACACAGTAACGACTGAGCGACACGGAGTCTTTCGCTTTCTCTTATTTTTGTTACATCGCGAACTTCATAATGCTTTTATTACAGTGTGTGTTCGCAGTGATGCGTATCATGTTGTATACATTGATAAAAGGCTCAATAATTCAAATTTGCGGTGTGTAATTCGCACAAGCTGACACATTGGCTCAATTCAAGCTGCATCCGTTGCCGAACAATACTTGGTGAATCACTGCCAGTGTTATTCGCTTATCCAAGAACAAATATGAACCACCAATATTACTGGTATTCCGGGATCAATCTTGGTGAGGAGCGGGTGGTAGTCGATAAACAATCAGATTTTGGTACCCTTCGCCGTAGCTTAGGCAAAATGGAACGACTGAAAAGCAAGCAAATCTCAAGCTGTTACGACACACAAACGAGAAGCAACTGAAACATATGCGCTTTGGCACATGGCAATTTCTCAAGCCAGCGCGAAGACATCCAGACAGTATAATACATATAGGATCTGGGTGACACTGGTTATAGATGAACGAAAAAAATTATACACAAAAGGATTACTTGCACTCAGAGGTCACTCGACGCATTGTCCGATGAGGAGTGGACCTAACATACGTCTTTAAGGGATCTAAAGCAACAATTATCCGCAATCTTGAATACGTACCAGCAAAACCGGACTTAAAAGTAACTCCTCGCAAGCGAATTTTCTTGAATGCACAAATCCTGACAGAAACCACAACTCCCCAAACTACCCTTCCTCCGCCATCTCTGCTCTGTTTACCCTCCCAAACGCTTACACCGCATTTTCTTATGCACCATATTAAGGAACACGCTGGCACACTGGTACCAATATTAAATTGTCCTTGGTCTGCTTAATACAAAGGATGGAAACCACTTCTATAACACTGTTAACACAAGTCGTATACAGCTGAAATAGTTTTAATTGAGAAAAAGAAAATTTTAGCGAACATTCGTTGGGAGAAAAGTTATGAGCAGGAAAATGAAAAAAAAAGCCATCCATGAAATTTAGCCTACATTACTGCACTGGAGCAATTAGCACTTGCAGCCGGTTGGCTCGGTAATGCTTCCTGGGCTCAAGCAGAAAAGAGAGCAAAGATCTGATATTTATTTTACAGAACCAAAATATTACTCCAAACGGTCGGACAAATGAATACGCGAATCCCCAGAAATGGTCAACATGCAAATCCATAAAAGGCGGAAATGAAGTTGATTTGGAGGAAGAAACCATTAAGAAACAACAAAGGATTTGAAAGGCCTTGACGCGATGGAACGTGGACGGAGGGAGAAAAGAAAATGATTGACCCAAATAGCAACAAAGTGGTTGCTAATGGATGCGCAGTGAAGATTTGAACCAATCAAAGAGTTACCAGAGCACTTGGTCACTTAAAAATGGTGTGAGCACGACCTGGACAAAATTCATGATACTGACAAAACGTAGAAGCAATAATGCACTGCTGCACAGGAACCGCGACTTATGTCGCTAAAATTCGTCTAAAGCCACTACTTGGGAACGAGACTGTACTGTTGCGATCAAAAATTCCACTCGTTAGAAGCAGAGTGCTGTGCAAGTGAGCGCCTTTCCCTCAGCACGCTCAAGCTGCCGGGGAGACGCATGAAAAATTTGGGCGAACAGTTCTAGATGTATCTGTTAAAAAACACTGTGTAGTGAAGGGATGCGAAATTTATGCACGAAATTGGCTAGGAAAGAATGAGAAAATCGAGGGCTGCCAGACAACTTTACTTTTTACAATAGCAATGAAAGGCTTATTGCAACAGATTTATAACTATTAAAGGGCATTCCTTTCGTCATAGTTCTTGAAAAAAAAAAACAATAAAATACATAACCATGCACAGATTCACGATTTCAGAAGACATAGTAGCGACTGCTCACAAAGACGAGTAGCGATCCCGCACACCCAAAGATAATGAGCAGCAGACTGCAATAGTGAAGTTCAAGAAAAATGGAGGTAACCTTTGAGGGGACGAAGCCATCACTAGCAGTAACGGTTTTCAATAGATCAGCAGCATGAACAAGTTCCACACGGTCTCTTCCTCGATTGTGACTCCCATGGCCATGCATCAGCAGCAATAAAAATGCATGTAAATCTTCGCGGAAACTGAAAATAAAGTGTAATAAATGAATATTGAAAGCGCCTGATACGGGCACCACTTGTCAGCGATTTTAAACCCGAAACCACTGCTCCTTACAAAACCGTAAAAGAGATACAAGCGCGTAAGCTTATTTAATGAAGATTAAACTACAGTGCGGGACAAACAGGAGTGAAAAAAAAAGGTAAATGCAATCAACGTAAGACCGCATTTCAACAACATTGAGGGCGTCATCATGAAAGTCTAAATGTGAAGGAATGGAATGCATTTTCGTTTAAACAAATTATTTACATATTTACCAATCAAGTGAGTTCCGGCCAATAATCTTATTTTCATCGATGATTTTTATTGAATAACTAAGCAAATACTATAATATTACTTTAAAATTTATTTAGTTTTAGATGCCCAGAAATTTATCAGGTTTAAGCAATACCAAAAACACTATTGCAAGAGCAGATCCTAGCAAGCAGTGAAGTATTTTGGAAATATTAGGGAATAAAACCAGTATATAAAAAATTAGTAATTTACCCGAAATGAAGACGACTGTATATGTTTCATCTCGCCGCCACAGCTGGATCTTGTCAATACAACGGTTGTGGCATAAACCATTATCAAGTAACAAATAAAAGAAAATAGAAATTAATGAGATAACAGCAAAATGAGACTGCAGGAAAAATTTAGTAAGGATGTTCAACAGATATTGAATGTACAATAAAAAAAAGCAAAATACATGACTACTTCTTCCTTAACGGAATCGTCGCCTCGTATTATTGCTACTCCCCTAACGAAATCGTCGTCTCGTAAAACTAGTTAACAACAGCAGATACGCCAGCATTCCAGCCACCATCTAAACTGCTTCAGTGGTCCCATATGTGTGTGGTGGGGGTGCAGCTAGGTGTCGACAGAACTACTTCAGGCTCTTACGCCAGGCTATTATTCATAGCTGGCTTTTGCAAACTACATACCACTTTACTTCATTAATCTGCTTTCTCTTCCTATCATCTTAACTAAGTATTAGAATTGGCAAATGAAGCCCAATACCACTTTCCTCACAAGTTGTAACATTACTTCCACTTCCTCTACCACGATAATGACTAAGCTGTAATTTCTG